CGAACCGCCGCTGCTGGGCTGGGATCTCGCTGTCTGCTATCCACCCTGGACCTACGACCAGGTTCCAGATTCCAGTAGGTGAACCTCTTCCTTCTGTAGAGTGAAGCAGGATCAGGAACAAGAGCTCTTACAAGAGCTCAGTAGCTAAGGGAGTATGAAGAGCATAGCAATCCCTGTAGTGATTATAGCTGTCCCCTACAAACATGAGTCGAGGATGAAAGTTAGAGGGTCAAGTAGTTCTGATTAATTGGCACCAAAGGGCCTTCTTTTATGGAGATCTTACACATACAGGACCGCCCACAGGGTTTTGCAGAATAACCAGTAAACACGTAACATCAATAAACAGTAAAAACACACCCATCAATAACACACAAATCCTCTCCTCTGTCTGTGATATAATTACTGTACACAATGGATTAATGTAATTATCACAGGCAGGAAAAATACACTTTTTACACATACACTGTAACTTTAAAAATATACACCCAATCTTCCTAAAATATCCATTCTTCCGGCTCCGGTATCAGTGCGGTGCGCGAGGGAGCTGAATAGGAAGTACTGAGTGCTCCCTCGCGCGCCGCTTGCCCGACCGGCCACCCGCCTGCCTGGTGCCAGCAGGGCCAGCCTCGGGGGGCCCTGGGGTGGTCGGCTCCTGGGCCCCCCAGGGGAAGAGGCTGGCCCTGTGGGTACATACCGGATCACAGGGGCAGCTGGGCCCCCTGGTGGGCCGGGCCCGGTCGCAGCCGCGACCCCTGCGACCCTGGTATGTACGCCACTGCTGTCAACCACTACTGGGAAACAACTGCCACCAGCATCTCCATTTCAGAAAATAGCTTGGGATCCTGCCAAGTGCAGGCTGCTCTTCAGGGCAATACAGCATCCACTGCTGTGTCTTGAGCACTCCAGATTAGCCTGTGCCCATAACATGCAATGTTTCATTTTGTTTTTTAATATTTCTGTTTATTCACTTTAAATATGTTTGACTATGTTTTACTGTTGACATTTATATTGTAATATGAGTGTCCACTGAAGCATTTCCCACATCCCTCTCCACTGTTGGTATGTGAGGTTTACCCTCCTACACATTACATCCACCTCCCCACCCACAATCATTAGTTTTGTGACCTAATGCTCTACTACATGGCTATATTCCCAGTCTACTACCTTATTGTTATAAGAGGTACATTGCCCTCGTACCCTTCCATAACTCTAGTCGCAGTCAAAGATTTCCCCCGTGGGGGTAAATGGCACAGTCTATGTTGTTATGCAAAGTCTTTCTCTCTTTACAAAATAATTGTAAATCCTTAATCGTCAGCTCTAACTAATGAGACTTTGCCCAATTGTAATGCCACATATGTTATTATTCTTTACTGTGCAATGCCTGTACCATCTTGCGAATTAAGAATGAGGTATGATTGACATAAAAAAAAAGCTTGGATGACGTGAATTATGGGCTTAAAGCTAAACCTTTGCAAAATTTGGCATGCTGAGATTACAAATTTAATAGTAGTCACGTAATTCACAACCATTTAAAAAGTAATTATCTGTGGAAAGTAGAGTATTTAAGAACGTTTTGATACTTTTTATCATTAGCATTGGTCAAACCTATTAGTTCTATTTAATTATTTGTGATTTTCACCTGTGTTTAATTTTCATTGGAAGACCCCATATTTGAATTGTGCTACTGTTCTCAAGTACAATGATACCACACATGTAACAATGTGACAGAATTTGTGGGACTGTAGGGTCAAGTAACAGACATGCCCTTATTTTGAGATCTATGAGCACACACTTAAAAATACAATTGTACTTTTTTTAAGGCTGCTTAAAATAACCTATCTCAAAACAACACGAACAAAATGTGAGCTGCGGGGCTTGAAGTGGTTAACTGTGCCGCATGTTGCATGTACTTGCTCAGAGTTGCAAGGGCATTGGTTTTGGCGGCAATAATGATACCCCCACGGTCAGCAGTTAACTTACTGTCCTCGTGGTCATCACTCTGATTAGAGCGCTTGTCTGCGAGGACAATTTGTGGTGGTTAAGGGGGGTTATAAAAGCTGTCTGTGGTAACGGCTTGGCGCCAAAAGTTTGGAATAGCAAGTGGGCGCTTTGAAATTTTTTTAGCTACAGCTGCTGCTGCCCTGCCTTGCCTTGCTGCAATGCCTTCTTCTTGCTGCAGTCTCAAAAAAAAAATACGAGGAATGCATTCAGCTGTGGTGGAGCTGAGTGGCTAATGTAGTGTTTAATGACTGCCCCTTCCTGTCAGGAGGACTCACACCCCCAGGAGTGACCAGCTTTAGTTACTATTGAGCATTGAGAGGAGGAGGCTGCAAAGGGGGATGACTGAGAAGGAGCCACAAATGTCTGTCAGTACATGTAATGACATAGGAATATCTCAGAGGGAGAAAAAGTGAGTTTGCAGGCCAAGAAAAATTTATTCACTATCATCCACCAGGAGGAGCAAGAACACAAGCGATTCAGAACAGAAGAAGAAAAAATCCATTAAGCATTCAGAAGCTGGGAAAGTGCTGGTTACAAGAGTTGGTGAACAAGCCAGTACTTCTGGTGTGGTTCTGGTAGACGGAGTAAACAATGTATCTGGTGAGTGCCACCCTGGCAAAGTTGGGGGAGGTTTTGGGGTGCCTTGTTAGGTTCCAGGTAACGCTGTGGATTTTACATGTGCACTGCAGGCGCTAGAATTAAAACCCTATACATAATATATCACATATAAATATAACTAATAATAAACACACTGAGACAGATAGGTGGAAGAAAAGTTTGTGGTCTAGTATTTAGTTTATAAAACACATTGTAGCACTAACTCTTTGAAAACGAGATAACTTGTAACCAAAAATCTCCAGTCTCAAACCACCCAGAGATTTAACTTATGACTCACCATAGTTCTGACCCTAAATAGCCAGTACTTAAACATATCAATAACACATAGTCCGCCCGCCAATTGAATAGGCAAGTGACCTAAGCCCTACCCGCTGCAGCCTTCAACTAATACAGCCCATTAATCCTGTTTTTTAAATCATTGTTAATAATACGCAAACCAATATTAGAAAGATGAACACCATCACTAGTACATAAACCATCGCACTGCCCCTCAATGTCAACATAGCGAAATGTAAAACAATCAATTGATGGCATAACTTTCTCCATGTATTTACTAAGCTTGCTCCTAACTCTCTGTAATGGCTTAAAGGGACACTCCAGGCACCCAGACCACTTCTGCCCATTGGAGTGGTCTGGGTGCCAACTCCCACTACCCGTAACCCTGCAAGTGTAATTATTGCAGTTTTCATAAACTGTAATAATTACCTTGCAGGGTTAAGTCCTCCTCTAGTGGCTGTCTGTCAGACAGCTACTAGAGGGACTTCCGTGTTCTTAGAACACGAAAAGTATGTTCTACGACGCTGGACTTCCTCACGCTATGTGAGGACCTCTAGCGTAGCCAAAATCCTCATCGGAAAGCATTGAATAATGCTTTCCTATGGGGAGGTCTAATGGCACGCGCGGCCATTGCCGCGTATGCGCACTAGGTTTCCACCGCCAGCTGACGTTGGCAGGGGAGGAGAGTAGGTGGAGCCTGACCCATCCCTGAGGGACATCGTCGCTGGACTCTGGTAAGTCACTGAAGGGGTTTTAACCCCTTCAGCAACTTGGAGTGGGAGAAGGGAAGGAGAGGGGCATAACAGGGTCCTGCAGTGCCACAAAAACTAATATGTTTTCCTGGCACTGGAGAATCCCTTTTAAGATTCGCATTGCGCAACCACACTAACCTTGGTACTATTTCAGATAAAATAATAAGCGCATCAGAAAACATCTGTTTCACCTGCCATACATCTTCAAACAAATGCATTAAAGCTGTACATAAATGTTAAATCTATTAGAAGACAAATTACCCATTTTTTTAACTGATTTAGCTGACAAACCTTGTGACACTGCTTTGGTTGCTGCACCTATACGAAAGGAATAGGATGTGATCCTCTTTACCACAATCCCTAATTGTTTATATGTTAACTGGAGAATCTTGCTAAATTAAAATTTGGAAAGATGGGCTCCTGAGCTATGAATTAAGAGGCTACTTGACCCTTACTCCCCGTCCAACTACCGTCCTATCTTGCTACTGCCTTTTGCATCCAAGATCCATGAAAGAGCTGTGTATGCGAGTCCAACTCTCTGCTAGACTTGCTTCTGTCTGAAATCCACGCTAAGCACTCTGTAGAAAAGGCACTGACCAAAGTATCCAATGATCTACTTGCTGCAAAATCTCGTGGTCACTACTCTATCCTAATTTTTCTTGACCTTTGACTCCGACCTCTCCTTCACACCTAATGTTCAATCTATGGCCAAATCCTGCCGCTTCCATCTCAAAAACATTGTGCTCATCCAACCCTACTCTTATCGCCAGATGCGACTAAGGTGCTGGTCCATTCCATTGTCCTTTCTCGCCTTGACTACTGTAATACGCTTCTAAGTGGTCTTACGTGCTCCTAACTTGTGCCGTTGCAATCCATAATGAATGCGACGGTGAGACTCATCTTCCTGTCCACCCGCACCTCCCATGCCTCACCCTTCTGTCAGTCCTTGCATTGGCTTCCTGTAAGATATAGGGCTCAATTTCAAATTTTTCAAATTTTGGTTCTTGCTTTCAAATCTCTACATAATGCTGCTCCCACCTATCTATTCTCCCTAATACACAAGTATGTCCAGTCTAGGCCCTTACGCTCTGCCAGGGCCGGATTAACATAGGGGCTGATGGAGCTGCAGCTCCAGGCCCAGGCCCATGGAATAGGCCCATTTAAAAAAAATTAAAAAAAATTTTTTTTTTTACACACTACTCTTAGGTTTGCCACCTGACTGGTATTTTAAGGCACAGCCGGTATTTGAGGCTGCCTGGCCGTGACAGTATTGCAGTAATACCAGCAATACAAATGCAAATATTAGTCTCAGTATAAACGGAGATTACTCTGCAATACCAGCACCGGCCAGTAGGGGTCACTGTGTGTGGAGAGAGGCAGGCATAGGAAGTTACAGAATATCCCTGCCTCTCTCTACTACTCACTGATCCGTGGGGGAGCAACTACACAGCACAGACAGTCCAGACAGCAGCTCTACAGCTCAGGTAAGTGAGGGATGGGGGGAAAGGCAGCAGGGACACATGGGGACACTGAGACACTAGGGGACATATGGGGACACTGAGACACTAGGGGACACATGATGACACATACACTAGGGGACACAGACACTAGGGGACACATGATGATACATACACTAGGGGACACTGAGACACTAGGACACAGACACTGGGAGACCTGGGAACACTGAGACACTTGGGGACACTGGAAAACATGGGGACACAGACACTTGGGGACATGGGGACACAGACACTAGGGGACACAGATACTAGGGGACACATGGGAACACAGACACTAGGGGACACTGAGACACTAGGACACATGGGGACACAGACACTGTGAGACCTGGGGACACTGGAAAACATGGGGACACTGAGACACTAGGGACACATGGGGATGCTGAGACACATGGGGACGCTGTGAGACATAGGGACATTTGGAGACATTGGGACACAGAGACACTATGTCCCACAGCCAGTGTCCCTAGGATCTCAGTGTCCCCAAGTCTCCCAGTGTCTGTGTCCCATGTCTCTCAGTGTGCCTAGTGTCCCCATGTGTCCCAATTTCCCCATGTCTATGTCCACAACTGTCCCCATGTCTCCCCAAGTGTCTGTCTCCCAGCCAGTGTTCCCTAGTATCCCAGTATCCCCTAATCTCCCAGTGTCTGTGTCCCTAGTGTCTTAGTGTCCCCAAATATTTCAGTGTCTCCATGTCTCCCAGTGTCTGTGTTCTTAGTGTCTCAGTGTGCCTGGTGTCCCCATGTCTCCCAGTGTCCCTATATGTCCCACTGTCCACATGTCTATGCCCACAACTGTCCCCATGTCTCCCAGTGTCCCCAAGTGTCTGTCTCCCAGCCAGTGACCCCTAGTCTCCCAATGTCTGTGTTCCCATGTCTGTGTCCCTAGTGTCTTAGTGTCCCCAAATGTTTCAGTGTCCCCATGTCTCCTAGTGTCTGTGTCCCTAGTGTCTCAGTCTCCCCATTTCTCCCAGTTTCCCTAAATGTCTCAGTGTCCCTATGTCTCCCAGTGTCCCCATGTCTCTGTGTCCCCGGGTCTCTCAGTGTCCCCATGTCTCTCAGTGTCCCCAGTATCCTAGTGACTTGGGGACACACTGAGACATTGGGACACTGGGGGAAATGGGGACACAGACACTGGGAGACTAGGGGACTGGGCGAGATGGGGACACTGACACTGTGATACATAGGGACACTGAGACACAGGGTGGCTTGCAAGACTGAGACACTGGGAGACAGTGAGACACTGGGAGCAATCCATCTATACAGCAGAATCAAACTGTGAGTGGTTTGTTGGTGATTTTACAGAATTTTCTCTGATGTCACTCCTTGTGGTTTACACGCATAACTAATTAATTATGCAAATGATTAAGGCTGGTATTTTTTTCCAAGAAAGGTGGCAACCTTAACTACTCTTCACATACTCTTGCTTAAAGGAGCACTATAGTGTCAGGAACACAATCATGTATTTCTTACCCTATTATGTTAAAACCACCACCCTGGCCCCTTCTTGCCTCCCTAAATATAGTAAAATATTACTTGTATTCAATTCTGCAGCTGCTGGCTCAGAAGTGGTGGTCTGAGCAAATTACAATACTTCCCCATAGGATTGGCTGAGACTGTCAACTAGGCAGATCAGGGGCAGAGCCAGCACAAGTCCAACATAGCCCTGGCCAATCAGCATCTCCTCATAAAGATAAATTGAATCAATGCATCTCTATGAGGAAAGTTCAGTGTCTGCATGCAGAGGGTGGAGACACTGAATGGCAGTGCTGCACACTAGGCAGTACTGCCCCAGGAAGCACCTCTAGCAGCCATCTAAGGAGCGGCCAGTGGAGTTATTTTCTCTGAAAAGACAGTGTTTACTGCAAAAAGCCTGAATGGAATGATTCTACTTACCAGAACAAATACAATAAGCTGTAGTTGTTCTGGTGACTATAGTGTCCCATTAAGTTTGGAAGCTTAAGAGGGATGTATGGGAACAAAACTTGTGTGCACTGGCTGACATTAAAGTTAGTTTAGGTAATGCAGACGTTGGTCTCTCTAACACTGTGGCATGTCCCCTTTCTTCTACACTCACTAGAGACACCTTTTCTCTGTCTCAGACTATACCAGGAACTTCTGCCTGCTAGTAAGAAGGTAAGGAGACAAGTGGACCAGCGAGTGCTAGGGGACAGTCCTTAGAAAGAATGGAGTGAGCGCATCATTAGACGCATTTATGTCAAGCTCAAGGTGCTGCCTGCATTGTATGCCCTTAGTTGGACAGCCTGCAGGATTGGCAGGCAGCCTGACATGCATTCATGCCAGGCTGACCTTCCAATTCATAAAACAAACATGCCCCCTTTTTGGGCATGTTCACTCCTTTTGGCAGGTCTTGTCACGTGATTCGCGCCAGTGGCACACCCTTTTACCCCGCCAATTGACCTCCTGCTTCACTGTACACTGCTGTTAGGGGTATGGATTTACTTGAAAGATGAAAGCATAAATTAGAGAGAAATTAGCATAGAGTATGTGTTTTCTTAGTGCTGCATCATATGAGTTTCCCTCCAGCACCATCTCCATCAGATACATGACGCTTGGGAGGTATGATTGTTTTAGTGTTTTTGGTCGATAAGATTCCGTAATTAGGCCCATCATAATTGTCAGCACCAGGCCCACTATGCTCTTAATCCGGCCCTGCGCTCTGCTGAAGACTTACGTCTATCTTCAGTCCATACTCCCACCTCCATTCCTGTGGAACTCACTTCCCTCCTCCGTTAGATGCTCGCCAAGTCTCCACTCCTTCAAATAAATCATGAAAAACCCACTTCTTCATAAAAGCTTATCAATTAAACCATTAATAGCTCCCAGCTCATTCCTCTCTTGCAACTGTCATTAGTCTAATACTATCCTTACCTTTTGTGTCACTTTACCCCACTCCCTCTAGCATGTAAGCTCATTTAGCAGGGCCCTCATCCCCTCTGTTCCTGTGTGTTCAATTTGTCTGGTTACAACTACATGTATGTTCTTCCACCCATTGTAAAGCGCTGCAGAATTTGTTGGCGCTATATAAATAATAACATAATAATAATAATAATATCCAGGAAGGCTTTGACTACCTTGATAGGACATAATTACATATGAGTGATGGCTCTTAACTGTATCTATCGACCTCTCCCTTGCTGGTCAGTTTTAAATTTTCTTAAAAAATATTCTCAAAGTTTTGCCCTCAAATGCAATAATTCAGCTGAATACCAGAATGAAACGATTTGCTAGCAGATACTACTTCACTAATTCTAAAGGCACCAAATAAGGACAAAACAAAAGCTATGGTAAAAAGTTGTGATTCAAAAGAATCTTTGCAAACAAGAACAAAGTTTTTGACCACATCATACAATAATTTAAAAGATATAGGACACCTGTTGTCATGAATAACCGAATCTTTGGCCCAGGCACCTTTCAGCATTTGCAGTATAACAAACTCTTTATAACATTGTTTTTTTTTACCTAGTCAGGAGGAAGGAAATATCCAGCAATGACCCATTTAACACAAACCTAAATACCCCAGAATTAATTTTATTAAGAATAAACTGTATTGCATCCTGCAAATTAGGTTCGGTGACATCCTTATTAAGATTCGCCATGAAATGATATCACTCATTCCAAACGTTTAGATATGTTATTGCATTTAGGCAATAATCCAATAAGAAGAGGTGCAAGTAATCAACAACACAAAGTTCATTATTAAGTATTTCCTCAGAGATGCATTAAGTAACATTCTTTGGTAGATGAGAATAAAATAGTAATATTAATCAAGTAGCTGAGAATAGTTGCAAAGCAAGAACAGTTCATAGCTAATAGGCATCATGGGAGTTGTCCTCCATATAATTAGTAACTTGAAGCACTGAGTGTAATTGCAAAGCAAAAAACACTTCATAGTGAATGAGCATAGTTAATAAGCATGATGAGAGTTGTCTTCCAAATAATTAGTAGCTTGTAGTAGTGAAGATTTGAGTAAGCAAGACTTAGTTCATTATTAAATGAGATTGTAGATAATTAGATGAGAGGTATACTTAAGGTTAGTTGTCCTCCAGTAGTAAGAGATAAGGTCCACTTGTAAAGTGAGTTTCCATTCTCCAGCATTCCTCTACCCAGACCCTGTGGAGAGTTAAGTCTGGCGGAAGTAGCTCCCAGTAGCTGAGCCTGTGGAGCCCGTGGTCTCACGGAGGTAGCTCACACATTAGCTCACACACAATCACCAAGCGCCCTCTCTCTGGCGTGGTCTGCCTAAATACCGTCAGAGCCGCGTCAGGGGGGGCGGGGTCCACATGACACAGATGTGTTCTGGCAATTTCATTCCAAACTCCTCTGCTAATGGTGCAAGGGACCTGGAAGACTTAAAATCAAAACAGGACAAGATATCAGCCATGAGAATAGTTTAACTTTAACACAAATGTTGTGCATCAGGCAAATAAAGACCAATCTCCTTAGTAAATAATTACCAGGGAAGTTTTTGTTTGCAAAGAATTGATTACCCAAACAACTCTACAACTCAAAATTGTCACAAAGAAAAATGATTCTTCTATTAGCTAATTCAGCTTCCACAACTTAAGTGCAACAATTATCGGGATTAATTCTAAAAGGGTTATCATTCTAGCTTCTCCCTTCTCAATCCATGTCTGAGGCCATCTTACAGCTACCCATTTACCTTGGCGATGAATACCGAAACCCCGTGAGTGAGATGCATTGGTAAAAATATCCAATTCCTGATTCCTGATTGAATACAAATCTGCTTTGCAACAAAGTGGAACCGCTAAGGTTTCTCAAAAATGCATTTGAAACCTGTAAATCTTCTTTCATAGGACTGCATACATGAATGTGGTGATTAGTGATGTCGCGAACATGAAATTTTCGGTTCGCGAACTGCGAACGCGAACTTCCGCAAATGTTCGCGAACCGGCGAACCGGGCGAACCACCATAGACTTCAATGGGCAGGCGATTTTTAAAACACACAGGGACTCTTTCTGGCCACAATAGGGATGGAAAAGTTGTTTCAAGGGGACTAACACCTGGACTGTGGCATGCCGGATGGGGATCCATGGCAAAACTCCCATGGAAAATTACACAGTTGATGCAGAGTCTGGTTTTAATCCATAAAGGGCAGAAATCACCTAACATTCCTAAATCACAATGAATATGGATTGACACCTGACATATGACATATTGACACCTTGACATATGGATTGACACCTGTCCTCAGAGGAGAATAGGGACTGGTCCCCCTACATAGGGTCACAGAGCAGAATAGGGACTGGTCCCCCTACATAGGGTCACTTGGCAGATATGGATTGACACCTATCCTAAGGATCCCTGATACACACTGACAAAGAGCAGAATAGAGACTGTTCCCCCTACATAGGATCACTTGGCAGGTATGGATTGACACCTGTCCTCAGAGACCATGATACACACTGACACAGAGCAGAATAGAGACTGTTCCCCCCACATAGGGTCACTTGGCAGATATGGATTGACAAAAAACACAATAAGTGTTGGCACTCAATTATGCAAGGTGCAGGTATTTGAGGTTTAACCTCACAACAACCTCCTAATCTAAATCCAAAAACAAATATGAATACCGCACTCAAAAAAATGATTATAGTGAAATCTAAATTTGTATTAAATTGCAAAGATATTTATTATAACAGTAATTCATAGATTAATCAAGTAAACCTTCTTGAAATTCATTCCAATCATATATATACATAGATTATTGACATATATACACAAAAAAACCTCCCTGTGCTGAATTTCATGAGCTCTATATCTATTTACACTGGTGGTTGATCCAAAAAATGAATGAATAAAAATGAAGTGTCCAGAAAAAATATAAAAAAAGTAAAGAAAAAAGCAGAAAAAGAAAACAGAAGAAAAGAAAAAATGTATATATATTCCAGTCCTAATAATAGTCCAAAGTATAGTGCACTATACAATTCATAAGTAAATGGATGGATCTCACCAAAAAATTCGTCAACTTGGTAGTATATTCAGTAGGAGGGTGGTAAATCTTGTAGATGATATATCTTGAATGAGGGTGAAAATGAGTTGTAGCTCGATGAGAAGGTAATCACTTATCCATTCTGTGGAATCTGGTCAGTCTGACAGGTCTTAATCGTGGGCAATCCTGTAATCGGGCTGAAAATGGGCTGAAAATGGGCTGCGCGCTCGGGACGTTCCTGTCCCTTCGATGGCCCCTGTTCCTCTCCGTCCTGCCAAAGTATAAGCATATTTAAATATCCTCATTAGGCGGCAAAACTCCGCCGCATCCACTCCATGCTACTACTTCCGCCTTCTGACGTCAGCGTACGTCGCTACGTCATACGCATTCAACTCAACTTTATTGTTCACATACATGTTGTGTAATGGCAAAATTA